AACACTGATTAGTGATTGGATTAATCTAACAAATGTAAATATACTCCTTTTGGAGTGATGGGATTTATTATATGGATGGCATGCCTACTTAATATATAATAAAAAGGTGGCTAGGGTTTTCAAGTCTCATATTTTAAGAATTTCTTTATTGTAAGTTTGGAAGAAATATTACAGAATAGATTCTAGAATCCCATTGTGGGCAATTCCAGGGCATGCAATAGAAGGAATAAGCAAAGGAGTGAAGATGGATAGCATTTCTTATAAACAATTACTTAATTGGGATGGGAAAAATTGGCAATTAAAATCTATGGATGAATTATTACAAGACAATATTAATTATTCTTGGTTTCAGTATAGACAATTATTAGAAAGGTGGAGGATAGATCAAAAAGTGGGTTTGGTCAGGGAGGATGTGAATCTGTTGAAACAAATTAAAGATCAAAGTCGAACTCATATAAAAAGAATTTATGGTGTTTTAGTGGAATTGGATTCAGAAACAGAATTAGTTAAAGATTGTATGATTAAATGGGCTCAAAATTATATACATGGGAGATAATTTGGGTGAGGAATGTTAAATTTATCCAAGCTCAAAATTTACGAGAAAATTTTTATAAAATGTTTTATAGGTGGCATCTTGATCCACAAAAGATGTCTCGTATGTATCCAAATCTGCAGCCTAAATGTTGGAGATGTGGTTGTTTGGATGCAACGTACTATCATATTTGGTGGTCATGTAAAAATATAAAGGCTTTTTGGATTAAGATTTGGTGGAACATTCAAAAAATTTTTAACAGAAGGATAAAATTCACACCACAATTGTTTTTGTTAGGCATTATTGTTGATTGTGATGATAAAGAAATTATTTTAATGTTGAATTTAATTATAGCGGCAAGGCTGCTGATAGGGCAATACTGGAAGAAGGAGTTTTTGCCTACTTTAGAGGAATGGTTTCTTAAAGTTTCTTATTTATCTGAAATGGCAAAAATTTCGGCTTATTTGAAAGATCAATCGCAAGAGAAATATTTTTGTGTGTGGAAAAAATGGGTGAATTTTATACAGCATAAATATGAGATTAAAAAGTATTACTTAGCTTTTGAATAATTTATGTTTAAGGTAACGATTAGAATTGTTGTTTTGTTTTGTTTTTATATATTGGAGTTAAAGTATTTAAAAATTTTGTTTTTTGAATGTATTTATAATTGTTTGATGTTTATTTAAGTTGTAAGGTTTTTTCTAGTTTTTATTAACCCTGTATTCAGCTCTGGGAAGGAGGGGGCAGGGTGAAGGGAGGGAAGGGGTGGGTGGGAGAGGAGGATTATTTTATTGTAAAACTGCAAAAATTTTCAATAAAAAAAAGATTAGAGAGTCAACGGTAATTAAGGGAATAAAAGTAAACAGGAATGGGTATAAATTGAGAGCTTTTGCAGATGATTTGGTTTTAACTTTAGCACAACCAACTCAAGTAGTTGGTCATTTGTTGGAAATTATATCTCAGTATGGAAATGTTTCTGGTTTTAAAATAAATAATAATAAAACTAAAATGTTATCTAAAAATATGTCTAATAAGGAAAATGAAATTTTAGTTAAACTTACAGGTTTTTAGATGCTGAAAAAGGTTAAATATTTGGGAGTATATATAACAGCTTCTAACGGTAAATTATATAAGAATAATTTTGAATTATTATGGGCAAAAGTACAAAAGGATCTAAATGATTGGAAAAAGTTGCAATTGTTGTTGTTGGGGAGAATATCAGCAGTAAAAATGAATGTTCTACCAAAGTTTCTTTTTTTGTTTCAAATATTACCTATTCTAAAAAAAGATGCAAATTTGGATGAGTGGCAAAAGGGTATTAACAAATTTATCTGGGCTGGGAAAAAACCAAGGGTAAAGTTTAAGATTTTGCAGGAAGCCCGAGAAACAGGTGAGCTTAAAGCACCCAATTTGAAATTATATTATGATGCAGCCACCTTAACTTTGATAAGTGATTGGCTTAATTTAACAAATAAACATGTTCTTTCTATTGAAGGGTGGGATTTACTGTATGGTTGGCATGCATATTTGATTTTTAATAAGAAAGTTGATCGGACTTTTAAATCACGTATTTTAAGGAATGCTTTTCTTCGAGTTTGGAAGAAGTATTATTATAGGTTAAATTATAAAATACCTATTTGGGGGATTCCTGGACATGTAATTGAGGGTATTTCTAAAGGGATGAATTTTGATAAAATTTCGTATAAGGAGTTATTAATTTGGTCAGGTAAAGATTGGCAGTTAAAATCTTTAGACATATTAAGACAAGAAAACATTTTATATTCATGGTTTCATTACGCACAAATTGTGGATAGGTGGACAGTAGACAAGAAAGTTGGAATAACATTAGGAGATGAAAATCTGATCGTTCAGATTAAAGATCAGAATCATGCCCATATTAAAAGAATCTATGATGAATTAATAAAATTGGATTCGGAAACAGAGTTAGTAAAAGACTGTATGATTAAATGGGCTCAGAATATCCAGGAACCGATCTTATTGGATCAATGGGAGAATATTTGGATTAGAAATGTTAAATTTACACAGGCCCAAAATTTGAGGGAAAATTTTTATAAAATGTTTTATAGGTGGCATTTGGATCCCAAAAAATTGGCTTGTATGTATCCTAACTTACAGCCCAAATGTTGGAGGTGTGGTAGTACTGATGCAACTTACTTTCATGTTTGGTGGACCTGTAAGAAGGTTAAAGCTTTCTGGATAATGATTTGGTGGAACATTCAAAAGATTTTTAAAAAGAAGATAAAGTTTATTCCTCAACTATTTTTATTGGGTATTTTTATGGATTTAGATGTTAATGAAACTATTTTAATGTTGAATTTAATAACTGCAGCAAGATTACTTGTAGGTTTATACTGGAAGGATTCGCTGTCTACTTTAGAAGAATGGATACTTAAGGTTTCTACTTTAGCGGAAATGGCAAAAATTTCTGCTTATTTAAAAGACCATACACAAGAAAAATTTGTTATAGTGTGGAGAAAGTGGATAGATTATATTCAGAATAAATATGGAACTTTAAAGTTCCATTTATTTTATGATTAAAGGTTATAATTATTATTTATAGATTCTTATAATATTTGATTTATAGTAGATTTGTTTATATTATTTTTTTTGTTAAGTTTAGAGTGAGTTAAGGGTAATATATGAATTTGTTAATTGTATAGAATTTTTTTTGTTTTAAAAGTTATATATTGTGTTAGTTTTGTTTATAATAACCCTGTATTTTGTTCTGGGAAGTGGGGGGGGGTAGGGGGAGGGAAGGGGTGGGATTAAGTATATATAGAAATATTAAAGTATGAAATAGATGGAGTAATTTAGAGGGAGGTGCCGCTCGGGTGTTTCCCCTGAACTGTATCCGAAGAGGGATAAGAGGGGAGGAGGAGGGAAGGAAGGAAGTTGGAAGGGAGGAAGGGATGAGGGGAGAGAGGAGAGGAGAGGAGAGAGGGAGTAGGGAAGGAAGGAAGGCTGAGAGGGCGGACGCAGTCGGGGGGAGATAGACGAGCGACACCTAAGGTCTTATTTTAAAGCAGCAGTTCTCAACCTGTGGGTCGCAACCCCATTTGGGGTCGAACAACCATTTTCACGGGGGTCGCCAAACAACGCCATTTTTTCCACCATTTTTTCCCCTTTTCCTTAGCTCTGCTACTCCGTCTTATTCTATTGGCTTTCGAAAGCCAATAGAATAGACTCTCTTGAACAGAGTCTAATTCTATTGGCTTTCAAAAGCCAATAGGAATTGTCCAGGGCTGTCTCTGCCCTGCTGAGCCTGCCAAAAGCCCCAGTCTGCAAACGGTGCTGCAAGGGTAATAGTCTGCAGAGCTTCCCTCCCTGCTGAGCAACTAAAAAGTAAGTAAAAGAGGGCCGGGGGTGGGAGGTGGGAGGCTGGTGGGTGCAGGGAGGGTTGCTGGCATGTGTGGGGCCCGGCAGGTGCCTTACCTGCCTTGGCCTGGGCCAGCTGGTGGCCCAGCCTGTGGTCGCCCTGTGCCGCCGCTGCCGCGGCCGCCCGGGAGCACCTGGGCCTGCCTGCCAACGCCCCAAACGGCCGGCGGCCAAGGTAAGCCTAGTGGGGCAGCAGTGGGTGCAGGGAGGGTTGCTGGCACGCATGGGGCCCAGCGGGTCTTACCTACCTTGGGCTGGGCCACCTGGTGGCCCAGCCGGTAGTCGTCCTGCCTGCCACGGCCACCCGGGAGCATCCGGGCCTGCCTGCCACCGCCCCTTGCCGACTATGCCTCAGCCGGCGCTGGGGGCGGCACTGCGCATGCGCGGCGCACTGCGCATGCACGACACACCGTGCATGCACGGCGCGTGCTTACGACCGGGGTCGCCGGTATAAAAAGGTTGAGAACCACTGTTTTAAAGATATTTTTCTCTTTTTTTTAGTTTTATATATAATGTATGGAAAGTATTATATGTATTGAAAATTTAAATAAAATTTTGAAAAAAAAGAAAAGAAAATTACTAGAGAAAGTAAAATTTAGAAACATTATATACAATATTAGCATAAAACAAGAAAGGAGGAATTATTATATGTGTCAAAGAAAAATAAAATTAAATCAATATACTTGGATGAAAAGGAGTGAATTTTAATGTTGGAAATAGTATTAAGAGTAAAAACAGTATATGCACTAAATAATATGAGAATATTTGTATGATCACCATGCTTAGATGGAATTCCAGTCGAGTCTTATAAAAAATATGAGAGTTACTACAATGAATAATGTTGAATTCCTAGTAAGTAGTAGAATATGAAAGAAGGAAAATGTAAATAAGAAACAATAAGGACAAATATTTCAAAGAAGAAAGAGGGGGGAAATGTAAAGAATACAAGAGTATTGTTACGAACTGCTGTTAACAAAAAAGGATATATTACGTGTGTATGTGTGTAATGTTTGTTGTGTTTTGTTGGTCTAAAATAATAAAAAAAAATTAAAAAAATCATTTTAAAATGAATTACATAAAAATGCATATCTAAACAACTCACTTTTGAACTTTTAAATAGGCCATGGCTCTATTTGCTGGAAGAAGTGCATTGGTGCCATCTGCTGCTATTCCACGTGTGTAGCATTCTATTGCTGTTTCATATTTATCTGCTTTGAAATACCTATTACCCTATCATATTTGGAAAAAGAAATAAATAATGCGGTAATCTAAATATATGCATTCATGTACTAATGAAAATAACATTTTTCTCAATAATTTTATATGCAAGAGTAGAGCAGGAAGAATTAACCACAGAGAAAAATTTCAGACAGCTATATAGAATTCTGTATGCTTGGTATCAGGCAGTAAGCAACACGATATCTCCAGCTGTTTTGGACTACATTGCCTTATACCACAATTAGCATAACTGCTGGAATTATAAACTAAGTTGAGATGTCATAAGCCAATTAATTGTAAGCAATGTGTCACCTGAAATTACTGACATGTGAAACAAGCACAGAAAAAATCAGTTTAACAATACTGGGCAAATGTAGTCATCAATTATGATAATGAATCCATGAATAGCATAGTAGCTCTTCCACTGGCCAAGAAATGACTCCTTAGATCAAAAACATTCCAGTTTAAATACTTGAAAAATATTCTTGCATTGCTGCTTACCAAATCTTTTTCTGCCATAGCCTTTTGCTTCAACTGCTCCTCCTCCAATTGTTTCAGTTCCTCTTCTGCAATTTCCACTTTCCTAAAAGTATCTGTTTCTTCAGCCTGACAATTTTCTTTTGACAAGAGAGCCTAATATAAAAATATAAACTATGTTTCAAATATTTAGCTACAAAAAAATCAAGGTCCATTGGCAAATTGATTAGGTTGACGTTCTTTACCTGTTCAATTTTCCTAAGTTCATTCTTCGCTGCAAAGTTGTTTGGATCCAATTCTAAAACCTTTTCATAATCTGCATGAAGATATAAAGGTAGAATTTTCAAAAACTATGATTGTATTGGCAATTGTTTGAAAAAAGAAAATGATAAGGTTTCCGTTATGATACCAGTAGTGCCTCTTTATATAAAATATGACATGGTTCATAGATAAACTGGATAAACTAGATAAATTAAATCACTCCCGAAATACATTCTATTTGTCTAGAGCAGTGGTTCTTAACCTTTTTGAACGAATCGCCCCCTTGAGCCAATGAGGAAGTTGTCATCGCCCCCCTCCTCCAACATAACCTCTCATAAGAAATAATTCTTCAATTTATGCAAACATTTTTTTTTTGTTTTCTTTAAAATTGTCAGCAGGACATATCGATGCAAATAATTTATTTCCAGTCTTTATCTCAACTGTGAAAAATTTTGGTGCTACCCATCACTTTATTCCCAAACTTCGTGATACATGTATTTCATTATTATCTTATTTGTTCAAGACACTTAAATGTAACGACCACTGAAAACAAAATTCAATTGCAAGAAAGTGAAATGCCTGAAAAGAAAAATAGTAACATTTAATGATTGAATTACAAGTGAAATTTAAGACTCAAAAAGAAATATAAAAAGGGCACAAGAACAAACCGCAATGCAGGAACTAAGAATTTCAAGACGAAAACTCTGAAACTAAATTAAGATTCGAGGAAAGTATATATAGTCATGCACACTGTAAAAAGAATTAAAAAGACACAAAGAAAATACAATATCAAACTGGAGTGCACGCTAAAAAAGTACAATACAAAGAGACACACAAAATGTTTTACAAAGCACAACAAAAATTTGAAAACGAAGCCAATGCATATTCACATATGTACAGCATTCTGTACTGAAGCTAGCTGGAGGAACATTTGAAAACACAATTCAATCCACTAATAGCGAGCAATCTGATGTTTTTGTACGACAGATATACAATGATTCACTGTACGAAAAAGTCTCAAAAGTGTCCCCAAAACTTCTCACTCCATCGCCCTCATATTGCCCCCTTTTCGTTCCTTTGCCCCCGCATCGCCCCTTTTCGTTCCATCGCCCCCCTGAAAAATGAAATCGCCCCCTGGGGGGCAATATCGCCCAGGTTAAGAACCACTGGTCTAGAGTATTATAGTTATATTCTACAGTATTAGAAACTAACTCTTGTATGTACTTGTTTTAATTTTGATTGAAAATGGCCACAATTCATTTTATGTTATCCATTTATTAACATAGCCTATTGCAATGGTGGCGAACCTATGACACGCATGCCAGAGGTGGCACTTGGAGCCCTCTCTGTGGGCACACGTACTGTTGCCCTGCCTCCCCCTGCAACCCCTTCCTCACCAGCAGCCTTCCTGGAGGAGAGGCTCTACCAAGGCGCGGCCCACGCGGAGCAGCGCAGCCAAGCACATGGCAGCCGGGCAGCAGGGGCAAGACTCCTCCCTAGCACCCTATCACATGCAGATGATGCTGCGGGGTGCAGGCAGAGGGCGTGGCCGCCATGGCACTGCAAGGCTGCCTGGGCGATCTGTGGTGAATGGCCCTGTGGGAGGGCAGAGCGGGGGCAGGCCGGTTTTTGGGCACTCGGTCTCTAAAAGATTCGCCATCACTGGCCTATTGTCTCTTCTACAAAAATCAGACAAAGCATATTATATTAGTATTTAAATTTTTAAACCACAGATATTTCCCACAATAACACAAGAAAAACTCTTAGGCAATCTGTAAGAACATTGCCTATTGGCCAAATTCTTCTATGCTGAGATTAGAGAAACAACAGTGTGTGGAAAGTAGTACTGATCATCTCCAATATATACTCTATAAATCAAAAGCTTTGCATAACACAACAAAAAAAGGAATGCATTATACACAACATGTACCTTTTTTGGCACCTTTAAAATTTTGCAAGACAAAGCGAGCTGCCCCTCTTCTGCTATAAGCCTTTGTGTAATTTTTGTTTAAGGCAAGGGCTAAACTGCAATCAGATTCAGCCACAGAAAACCTGAAATGATATTGTATAGTTATTAAAATACTTATTCATTAAAAACACATTAATAAAAGCACAAGCCCAGATACGAATTCTTTTTTTATAATATTTTATTAATTGTCTCATTTTACAATTGAGCATTTAAAAAGTAACATGATGACTGGGTTAATCAATAATTCAATAGCATAATATTTATTATAAATCTCATGTAACAGCACCAGATATTTCCTCACTTTTCCTCTTAATATCTACTATCTCATATTAGGCTAATACAGTTCTTATTATTATCAACTAAATAAAAACATCTTTGTTACAATTATCAATAATTTTTAGCTTATGCATATCTTAATTGTGCTTGCATTCAATCCTGATACACAATCAATGTTCTGTTATTTTTTTTTTTCCCCAAACTTTAATTTCCCATCAATATTCAAATTAACATTTGTTATTTATGATTTCCAAGTATTTTATATTTAGGTGACCAAAGTTTCCCTTATCTCAACTTCCTTTTTTCCCTTTTCATAACAAAGTCTAATATTCTAAATACACATCTTATCTATTTGATTATAGTTTTATTCTGTTCTCTAAAAGTTATCTGTTTTCCACCATGTTAAACCATCTAATTAATAATACAGTATCCTTTCTAATAAGTCAAAACTATTTATATGTGTTGTCTGGGTTAACTAATAATTCAGTAATATACGTATTTTTTTTTAGTTTAGGTCTAATATTGGAAGCTAAAATACTCCCTCTCTTTTTCTAGTAATATCTGTTATCTCATATTGAGCAAACAGAATTCTTATTTTCAACTAAAACATTCTTGTTACATTTATCAATACTTTTTAGCCTATACATAAACTTTAATTTCTCATCAATATTCAAAAAAGAGAGGGAAAAAAACATAAGTTATTTATGATTTCCAAATATTTTATGTTAGGTGACCAAAGTTTCCCTTATCTCAACTTCTTCCTTTTTCCCTTTTCATACCAAAGTCTAATAGTCTTGTTACACATCTTAGCTATTCAATTATGTTACTTTATTTTCTAAAAGTTATCTAATTTCCACCATATTCAACCCTCTAATTAGTAATATAGTATCCCCTCTAATAAATCAAAGCTCAAAGATACTATGAAAAATTATATAAGAGAAATGAGGGGGGAAATGTAAGAAGGATAATAGAATACTTAGGGAAGGTAGACATACCGAAGATTCCGGAGGAAATAAAATCTATGTTAAATGAGGAAATAAGAATGGCTGAAATAATCAGGGCTATAAATAAACAAAAGATCAATAAGGCGACTGGTCCAGATGGAATACCTGCGGAACTATATAAAGAACAACAAAGTGCACTCAATCAATACCTACTAGAAGTTTTCAACGCTGTATTAACCTATGCTAAAATACCTAAGTCCTGGTCGGAGGCAAATATAATATTGATTCCAAAAGAAGAAGCGGAAAAAACACAGATACAAAATTATAGACCTATATCATTATTGAATTCTGATTATAAAATTTTTGCCTCAATAATGGCAGAGAGATTCAAAAAATACCTAGTTGATTTCATACATTCGGATCGAAATGGCTTTTTACCAAACAGGTAGACTAAGCGGAATATAAGAACAATTTTAGACATCCTTGAATTTTATGAATCGCATAGCAATCGTCAAGTGGCACTTCTGTTCCTTGATGCACAGAAGGCTTTTGACAATGTTAATTGGCAATTTATGATCCAACAACTAAAATCAATGGATGTTGGGGAAAATTTTTTAAACATGATAACCGCAATATATTCTGAACAAAAGGCCCAGATCATAATAAATGGAGAGGCCACTGATAAATTCAACATACAGAAAGGCACAAGACAAGGATGTCCTCTCTCGCCATTGTTATTTATATATACATTAGAAATTCTTGCTAGAGTAGTAAGACAAGAAGAGCAGATTAAAGGACTTAAGATCAAGAAAGAAACATACAAGCTTCAAGCTTATGCAGACGACTTAGCATTTATATTAGAAGACCCAGAACAATCAGGCCAGAAATTATTTGAAATATTGGAAGAGTATGGGGATCTGGCAGGTTTGAAAATAAATAGAAACAAAACAAAGATTATCACAAAAAACATGACTAACATACAAAAAGGAAACCTTGAGGCAAAATTAGATATACAAGTAGTTTCCAAATTAAAATAGTTAGGGATAGTTATTTCAGCTCGCTGCTCATCAATTAAAGAAGACAATTATGGCAAATTGGTCAAGAATATAAAAGTAGATTTAGACCGCTGGAAAAATTTACATCTCTCATTACTCGGGAGAATTGCTGCAGTGAAAATGAACATCTTAGCTAAAATGATATTCCTGTTTCAGAATATTCCAATTCAATTAGACAAGAAATTTTTTAAGGAGCTGAATAAATTAACCTTAGAATTTGTGTGGTCTGGTAAGAAGGCAAGAATAAAATTAAAGGCACTACAGGATGCCAAAGAGAGGGGAGGTTTAGGTTTCCCAGATTGGGAGCTATATTACCAAGCAGCGGCCCTAACATGGATTAGAGACTGGATAACCTTAGAAAATAAAAGATGTTTACATTCAGAGGGTTATGACCTCCAGCAGGGATGGCATGCTCACATATGGATGGGGCAAAGCAGAAACCACCAATATTTTTTTAAGACATAAGGTTCGGCAAGAATTAATAAAAAGCTGGAATATAGTTAAACATCAATATTACACAAAGATCCCAGCCTGGCTATCGCCATTGGAGGCAGTCACATACCCCAATTTGTACAGGATAGACAAAGCTATTATATATAAAGACATCTTGACAGAAAAAGGTTATTTAAAACAAAAACAAGAGCTAAAACAACAAGGAATAGACATGGAGTGGTGGTCTTATCTCCAGATACAAGCAAGATACATGAAGGATAAGCAAGAATGGGGAATTAACAGACAAGATACGGGGTTAGATAAAATACTGCTAGGCCCGGAGAAAAAAACAAATAAAGAATATTTATAAACACCTGTTGAACATAAGCTATATGAGGAGCAGGTTAAAGAAACAATGGTGACATGGGCAATAGCTCTAGGTAGGATATAATATAAATATGGATCAATGGCAGCAAGGATGGGAGCGAATAACAAAATAACAAAATAACAAAATCACAGTGGCGACATCATATAAAGAAAATCTGTATAAGACGGTTTACAGATGGCATCTCCCTCCGGCCAGATTAGCCAAAAAGTATAACGGATATTCATCTATGTGTTGGAAATGTAAAAAAGAAAAGGGCACCTGTTTTCATGTATGGTGGACATGTAGAGAAGCACAGGTGTACTGGTGTATGGTCTGGGACTGGGCAAAACATTCAATACAAACCGGAGACATTACTATTAGGAATACTAGAGAAAAATGTAAATAAAGAGGACACATATTTAATTATCCATGTGGTCACAGCAGCAAGGATACTATTTGCTCAAAAGTGGAAAGCAATGGAAGTACCGAGTGGGGAAGCACTAATAAAGAAAATTATGTATTGCGCAGAACTAGATACTGTAGGATAACTAAAAGATTAAAAAATCAGGAAGAAATGGAATTTTATCGAATATGGAATAAATTTTATAGATGGAGGGAAAAACTGGAGGTCACAGTAAAGAGATAAACTGAGATAGAGACTAGAAATGTATAGTTGTATATAGGTATATTATATGTAATTAATGTACAATATGGACTGAGATGTCAGTCAAAGACGATTTACCATGTTCAATGTTTTTAATCCTTTTTTTTCTTTGTACTTAATAAAAATTAAAAATAATAATAATAAATCAAAGCCATTATTTTCTTCAGCCTTACTCTGTCTTTCTTCCTTTGCCAGCTAACCTTCCAAGTCAGTGCCTTTGATTCATCAAATAGTTCTCCCTCTATTATTATATATATTATTTGGAATAAGAAAGACCATTTAGTTGAAGTTTTTTTGGAAGAATGAGCCCATTTTTATTCATTAGATCGCCTCCCTATTACTCCAATTTCCCACAATTGTCCTGATATGTTTATCTTCCATTCAGTCTGTTCTTCTTTTCCTCAAATCTCTTCTGATTTTTGTAAAAAGTCTTCTCCAGTTTCAATGTTGTCACTCCCTTTTCTGATTTTTCTATTGGCTGGGTCTGTTGGTCAATTGGATCCTCTGTCTTGGTGTTTAGTTGTTCCAATTTTCCTGTTATTTTCTGCATTATTAGTTCTTTGGTTGTAGTCAAGATTTGGGTTTGTATATTTAAGCTGGCATCTTGTTCCTTCATGTTGCTTCTTATTTCGTCACAAGCTGAAAGGATGGTTTTGTGTATTGATTTCAACGTGGAAAGAATTTTTCCTGAACTTCATCCATATCCTCTTAATAGTATGTTAAGTTGAAGACTTTATAACGTTAAAACATTAAAAATAGTTTTTCTTCTTTTGTAGCTGGGTATGGGACATCTATTTCACATGTTATAGGTGGTCTTTATAGTAGAAATTGTTTATCAAGTAAGAGTTTATAGTCCAAGATGTTCCATAATCTCGTATAATACATATGCTTCTCATATAAAGAAATAGGAAAGCAATTCCCCAAGTATAGCTCTGAGAGTCAGTAAAAGTTTACATTCATAGTTCAAGCAGGCCAGATATGCTGCCCAGAAGTCCGTTCTTTACAGCTGAGTTTTTCACAGGTGATAACTGTCAAGGTCAAAGAAATTTTATCTGAAGTCTGGGCTTCAAGCCAAGTCTCTTTTAGGCAATAACAAATTGTAATACCATACTTTGCCACAAGATGTCACCGATGCCATTTTAAGCTTTTTAAGTCCAAAATTTATATGGTGGTTTTTCATGTCTTTTTTTAAAAAAATAAATAAAAAACAAACGTCTCCAATGAGAAAAGGAACACTTTTAGTCCCCAAGTTTCAAAAGAATATATACCCAATTAGATTAAAATTGTTCTTATAGTTGCTCTGTTTCCCCTGGGTATTTAGTTGCCACTTTTCTTAGAGGGTGGAGTAAAAATTCCCTTCCATCTCTCCTCACAGGGAGAAAAATACCTTGGGCAGTTTTTACAGGAAAAAATACTTAAAATCTTAAAGAGAGGATCAGGTCTCACCCAGTTTCATCCACATTGCTTTAAAGCTGCTTGGTGATGCTTTTGACTTTGGCTGTCAGCAGCTTAGTGACTGACCATATTGGTATGGCCGGTCTTTCCCCCGCTGGTTTGGAGGGCTTTCCTGGATCAAAATGAAAGGGCTGCCACCCTCCCACGATCAAACAGGAGGTCCCCTCGTTGCCCCTACAGGGAGCAAGGACCTTTCCAAGGTCCCCCAATGGAACGAAAGTTATCTAGCAAGTTACCATAGAGGAGGATTTGGACCTGGGTGTTTTAGATCCATTATCTTAGCTAGACCTTAGCTAGATCCATCATATTATTTCTCAAAGCCATCAATGAAAAATTGGAGAAAAGCTTAAAACAAACTTCTATTCTTAACTTCATAAGCTATCAAGGCTGTTGAAAGACATAGTGTACTACTGTACATTGGAAGGACTGTGTAAAAAAAAAATTCTCACATTGGCGGTCCAATTTTGGGAAGGAGAGCACCAGCCAACCACAGATAGGATGCTGGTGCTTCAATTTAGTTTGTAATCAATTCCTTTATTTGAAATAAAATGAGGTTACTAGGTAATAAAAGAGAAAACAGGATGTTTATATGAACCTCTAGACTAAATTCATAAGATATAATATCTAAGTATGTCTAGGGTCTACTAGGAAAGAATTTTTCTTTCCTACTAGGAAAGAAAAAATAAATATTAACCCTTTTTTCAGGTTCCAAAAATATTAATTTAGAATCCGAGAATGTGTGGGGAAATAAAGGCTAGCTCTGGCCATATTCCTCACCTACTATGCAAATCTAAGGAAATTTGGTGAATTTCACATGATCTGTGTTTATGGTTAACCATTTTAAACCTGATTAATACACAAATTGGAATTAGTGATATTTTAGGCAGGCTGTAATGCTGTGACAAGTAAAAGTAAAGAAAGATGACCAGCAGCAAGATCAACTGGCGTGGAGTGCTCTCTGTGGCCCGTGGGTAAACTGCGGCCCCCATGGTTCCCAATTTTTAATTTATTACTTTTCATTTCAATCAGATGCTGATCATTACATAATTTGTGGACTCCTAGATGTCAAAGTCAGTTTGAAAAATCAGAAGTTACTTTATCAAACAGCAGTGTTAGTTGCAGAAGTGACACTTATGGACAATATTTCAGTATATAGGTAGTCATTAACTTGCGACCACAATTGGGACCAGAATCCTGGTTGTAAGTCATTGTAGTTGTAAGTCAAGACACCACATGACCAGACCCAACTTTTTCAACCATTTTATGCAGTTGTTAAGCAAACCTTGTGGTCTTAAATCCGAATCCATTCTCCCAAATGGGCATCTTTTTGCCATTCAATGATCATCATAAATCAAAGACTACCTGTTATACACTAAAGATTGTGAAGGATTTAAAAAGATCTGTTAACAAGCAAAATTAACACAACATTAGCAAAAGATCCTTGTTTTCCAAAACCTAAAAATAGCATGGAAAGAAACCTGATAAATAGCAGAAAACAAAGAAATTTGATTCCCTTCTTTTATCTAGCACTGTTCCAAGTAACAGTGTCACAAAAGTAACAAGAGTGAAGAATGATTTCCTAGAGCGAACTTTCCAGATTTTGTCTGTTTGATAGAGAGGTTTTCTTGTCCAGAGCCCAAATTAAAGGAAAACAGAATGCAAGCACAAATTGTTCAAACTCTATTCAGGCATTAAATTCACGGGGTCTATCATTATCACTTGGTCTACCTCTACCTCACTTCATGGAATTGTTTTAATACTAAAATGGGAGTTTTAAAATGCATTTCCCTGAGCATCACTGAGGTGAAATTTGATGTGCAATAAAAATGCATCAGGAATGAGGTAATTCTTCATAAAGCACATATATTTTTTAAAAAGCTTTTTTTCTTTGCTTGTAGTACATTCTGCATTCTTCACATAGCACTCTATTTTGCACTGCCCTCCAACAGGAAAAACAATCTTGCTTTTTGTTATAAAGAGTTAAAATGTTCAAAGAATTTAAAAAATTATAAGGTTAAAACTAGCAAGACAAAATTTCTGTGGTAAACGTATCCCAATAAAACATATGTGAAAATTCAGTACCCTCTGCAATTAATTATATTTGAAGTAAAATATGATGAAAGTCAACAAACTCTTACTTTTTCAGCCGAAAAAAGGCAGATGCCCTATTAGTAGGTAAAGCTGGATTGTAAGGATCTGCATTCATTCCTTTTGTATAGCATTCTATTGCAGCATCATACTTTCCTTGTTTAAAATAAGTATTGCCCTATTAAAACAAATGTGATAAACAGTAAGATGAATATATTACAAACACTTACTCTCTTTTTCTGGTGTCTTTGAAACAATGCTTGCCTATTTTTTTAACCAACAGAATTATTTTCAAGTGCTAGAGCTAGACAAATGAAAGGAAGAATACCACTCATTAAGGATGCTTGGTCTATTACTTTCTCACTGTAACCTAACTCATGAGACTGTTTTAAAGATAAAATAAAGAGGACTAGATACAAAATTGGAAAAAGACAGAAGGCCAATATATTTCACAATCTATCATCTTCCAATTCTTACTTTTTTAAACATTAAGATGCATAATAATGCATATTAGTTTTCATGCTTTATTCTAACAGATAGATCAGATGGCAATGAAAACATATCAACCAGTTTTGATCATCACTTAGATAGATTCAAGAAGGAATATTTTTTAGAATTTCAAGTGTATAAATTTCAGGATCTACAAAACCCATGGTAGAAGAAAAACAAAAAGAAGACATAGATATATAGGGATATTAAATCATGGTCACTACTGCATTGTAAAATATTCTAATTTTTTTTCCAAACAGCTCTTTAATTTGATTTAGAACACTACTTATTATAGACAATTTTGAAATCTTATGAAAAAAATAATAAGACGCTTAATGTAACCGTAGACACAGGCAATCACATTATAATATGAATAAAAAATTTATGAAAAACTAAGGAACAGCAAGACATATTTTTGGTTTTACTAAAATCCAGACTTGGTTTCAAAATTCATATAACTGAACAGTATAAGAACTTGAAACTTGAGAACTAGTTTGGTGTAGTGGTTAAGGCACCAGACTAGAAAGTGAGAGGTTATGACTTCAAGTCCTAACTTAACCATGAAAGGCAGGTAGGTGATTTTGGGCTAGTCACTCTCTCTCAGCCCAAACCACCTCACAGGTAAAGGCATAATATAAAGAAAAAAATCTTCTCAATTAGAGATTTAGAATACACATTTTTATATAGGTTAATATATCCTGTTCCCTAGGGAGCATTAGAAGAAAAAATATGGGTCTATTAAAAAATTAAAAATAACCTTTTCTTTCTCAGCAAGAGCTTTTTCTGTATCAATGCGAATTCCATCTTCTTCGGAATCTGACATTGAGTCATGAGTGGTATGTTCCTTATCAAGTTCTTCAAGTATCTTATCCTGAAAAGAGAAATTTAAATTTATGCATATATAATGTAACAAGGAAGCAACATAAGTAAATATATGATACGTAAGAACTCTGCAGATATATAGTCTTTATAGTCGCTTGATAGTGAGAAAGGCGGCATATAAATTTAATAAAAATACTGTATAGAAATAGTTGTATCAGTGGCAGAAAGATAGCTGTAAGGACCCACCCCACTTTGCATCTTAAGAAGACAGAACTCTTGGAATAATTCTTCCAACAGGAATCCTTTATTAAGAAGAAGTGGTTGCAGGCGTGCTAGACAGGACTTGGGGTCCAAGCTCTCCCATTCAAGGTTTTAAGGGGTTCCCCAGGAGTCCCACCCAATCACCCCCCCTTCCAGTGATAGTTTCAGGTATCACAATTCCACCCCCTTTTTTCTTTCTTCCGTCTGGATGGAGACTTCAGATAAACTAGATGAAAGGCAAATAACCTTCTTTGTTATGGTAAGGTTCTTTGGTGCTAACTCTTTGAGGTTGCAATAAACACACATTCAGCATTCAGCTCCTTAGAAGTATACTGAAGGAAGTGAGGGCCATAAAGCCCCTTTGTTCTCCCCCTTCTCTCCCTCTTATGGCAGAATCCAGAGAAGGCAGAATTGGGAGTTTCTATATTTGATATTTAAAGATGAAATATAATTGGATTCTGACATCCGGCCCCTCTTAAAAATAAGAGAGATCCACCTGAAAGAAAACAAAACAGGTATACAACTTAGTCAGGCTTGTTAGGATACTCTGTGTGAAACTTCTTCAATATCTTCGGGGCTCTGACATGACGTTTATGGACCCACTCGTTTTGTGAGGGAGGGAGGTGTTTCCAGGCAACTAGGTACTGAGTTGCTCCATGATATCTCCTAGAATCAAGGATTTCCTTTATTTAGAAGTGTTGTTCACCCTCCACCATGAGTGGAGGTGGTGGTGGGGGGATTTTTGGCCGTAGATGTGACTGATGCTCTCTTTTCAGCAAGCTGCAATGAAAAATTGGGTGTATTTGCCTGAGGATTTTGGGTAATTCTAATTCTACTGTTACTGGATTTATGATTCTTTTAATTGGAAAAGGTCCTATATATTTTGGTCCAAGTTTTTTACAGGGCTGTAGGGACTTTAGGTATTTTGTAGATAAGTACACCATTTCTCCTATAATGAATGGTGTACTCTTTTTTTATCGGCTTGTGTTTTGTATGCCTGCCTAGCTTCATCTAGTGCTTTTCTGACTATTGGCCAGGTGTTTTGTAGTTTCTCCATCCATTCTTTCAGGGGGGATCGTTGGTTCGTGTGGGGTTAATTCTGGCATGGGGTTGAAACTTTGACCGGTGGCTATTTGAAAAGGAGTGTAACCTGTGCTGGAGTGGACTGCATTATTCTAGGCAACTTCTGCAAAAGGGAGTAAGTCCGCCCACTCGGTCTGCTGGAAACTAAGAAAACATCTTAAATATTGCTTAAGTACGGAGTTCATTTTTTCAGCCCCCCATTTCCTTGAGGGTGGTGGCTAGATGTCAGTCCCTGAGTGGTTCCTAAGAGGGATAAAAATTCCTTCCAAAATGCAGACGTAAATTGCACCCCCCTGTCAGAGATGATGCGTTGGGGTGCCCCATGCAATCTGTAAATGTGTTGGATGAAAAGTTTTGCTAAGGCTTTTGCAGTGGGAATCTTTTGGCAAGGGATAAAGTGCACCTGTTTGGAAAACAAGTCCGTGACCGTCCAGACCACAGTATTCCCATTGCTTTCTGGCAATTCCACTATAAAATCCATGGCTATTTCTCTCCAGGGGGCTGAGGGACTTGCCACTGTTTGCAATAGTCCTGGCAATTTCCCTTGCAACTCTTTGCCGTGGCACATTTTGGACAACTGGCTATATAACTTTCAATGTCCTTTTTCATGGATGGCCACCAAAATTGCCGTTTAATTAAATGTAAAGTTTTTACAAATCCAAAATGCCCTGCTGATTTTGTGTCATGGCAAAGTGCATGAAAGTTACTCTTTGAGTTGTTGGTATATATAACTTTTCCCCTACCCAAGGCAACCCGTCTCTCATTGTGCACACATTTTTGTTTTTCTGGAACCATTCATCTGTTTCCAAACTTTTTCTGAATTCAATTCCAGTTTGGCTGTCCAGTTGTGGTTTTATTTTGGCTTGGGTTCTTGTGGTTACTGGTGCTGCCAGTTGTGACTCTGCCATTATTGGTCTAGAGTCTGTGGTTTTCGTGCGCTGTTATATTGGGGCATGCAAGATAGTGCATCTGCCAGGAAGTTCTTTCTTCCTGGTAAATGTTTGAGCTTAAATTGGAATTGGTGAAAATGCTGGGACCAGCGGGCTTGTTTGGGATTGAGTTTCCTGGAAGTTTTCAGGGCTTCTAAATTTTTGTGATCAGTCCACACCTGGAAGGGGATTTTGTTGCCTTCCAGGAACTGTCGCCACGTGAGTAATGCCCAACGTATCCCATAAGCCTCCTTCTCCCATACGGGCCAGCGCTGTTCTGTTTCCGTGAGTTTCTTGGATGTATATGCACAGGGTTGCAATACTGCATCATCATTTTCTTGTAATAGCACAGCCCCCACTGCCACATCACTTGCATCTGCCTGTATTACGAAGGGCTTGTCCATGTCTGGGTGCCTTAGTATTGGTTCGGCAGAAAAAAGTCTCTTTAGTCTCTCAAACGCTGCTTGGCACTCCATTGTCCATGTTAGTGGCTGGCTAGGTTTTACTGAGGATGCTCCCTTCTTTTTTAGTAAGTTAGTGAGGGGCAAGGCTATCTGGGCAAATGAGGGGATGAATTGGCGGTAAAAGTTTGCAAAGCCCAGGAAACTTTGTAGTTGCTTTCTTGTGCGGGGTGGCGCCCAATCTAATACTGCTTTGACCTTCTCTGGGTCCATTTCAATGCCCTGTGGGGATATGCGATAGCCTAGGTAGTCTATCCTTTCCTGGTGGAATTCGCATTTTGAGAGTTTGGCATATAGGTGGGCGGCTCGCAGCTTCTTTAAAACCGCTCTGACAAGGTTGACGTGTTCCTCTTTTGTTTCAGTAAAGATAAGAATGTCGTCCAAGTAAACAAGGACCCCCTTAAACAGGTGCTCCCTTAGAACGTCATTGATTAATTGCATAAAGACTGCAGGGCCCCCTTGTAATCCAAATGGCAAGACTTTGAATTGATAGCACCCCATGGGGCAGTTAAATGCAGTCTTCCATTCGTCCCCTTCCTTAATTCTCACGCGATAGTAAGCTTCCCTTAGGTCTAGTTTAGAAAAATTTTCCCTTTCGATAGGTGTGACAGCATGTCTTTCATGAGGGGCAGCGGGTATAGGTTGCTTTCACTGATTGTATTCAGGGCCCTATAATCCACGCATAAACGTAAAGAGCCATCCTTCTTCTCTCTAAAAAGGACCGGGGCAGCCACTTTAGGCTTGGCTGGCTCAATGAAACCTCTCTCTAGGTTTTTTTTTATAAATCTTTCCATTTCCTCCTTCTCCTTTGGGCTCATGGAGTATAATCTGGGCTTCGGGAGTTTTGCCCCAGGCTTGAATTCAATGGTACAGTCTGTGGGTCGGTGGGGGGGAAGCTCATTCGCCCTCTCCTCACTGAAGACTTCAGCAAGGTCTCTATATTCCTCTGGTCTTTCTGTTAATCTTTTTTCCTCTCCTATGGATGCTTTTTCTATTCTTGATTCTGGTAGCCTCCCTTGGGCTTTTAAGTCCATAAGGGTCCCCCTTCGGGAATTTGATTTCTGTCGTCCTCCAATTTACCCAGGGGTTCCATTTTTTCACCCATTCCATCTCTAGAATCATTGGGCATTCCATACCTGGGGTCACCACAAACGTTATGTCCTCTTCATATTTGCCCAGGGAGAGGTGTATTGGTAGAGTGGCCAGGGTAGCTGGCACCCCCCCTGCTATGGATCCATCTAACTGGCCAAAGGAGATTGGTTGTTCCAGTCTTCTGGATGGGATGCCCAGATTCCCCACTAATGTTTGGCTAATGAGGCAGCAGGTGCAGCCAGAGTCTATTAAGGCTTTCACCTTCACAGCTTCGGGCATGGGGGGGATTAATATAGTCACTGTTTTGAAGATGGGTGTGATGCATCCACTTACCAGGGGTTCGCCCTCCGAGCTGTCATCTGAGGCATCCACCGACCCTGTGGTGTAGGCTGGAATTCTTTCTCCTTGGTGAGTAGAGGTGGGGGTTTCTGCAATTTCCATCATTCTCATGGCCGTTTCTTTTGGCTTAGCTGAAGACTTTCCGGATTTGTTGATTGGGGATCTGTCTGGGTTGGGCTGGGAGGCCTTTGAGCGGCATTCTACAGCTCGATGCCCTTCTCTTCCGCACTTGAAACACCCCATTTGCTTCTTGGCTGTAGCCGATGATTTCACCGGTTCGTGTATCAGCTCAGGCGGGGGGCGGCTCCATTGTTTTCCTCGGCGGTGCCTCTTCAATATGTCGATCTCTGCTTCCTCTGCCAAGACGTACCATGCCTCAAGTCGATGTGGGTCCCCTCGGGGCAGGCAAGCATCATATAGATCATAGTTTAGTCCGTCTTTGAAATGGCAAAGGAGGATGTCTTCTGGCCAATTCAGTTTGCTGGCAATGGCCCGGAATTCTTGGTTATATTCAGCCACCGGGCGTTTGCCTTGCCTCATCGTTTTTATCCTTTCACGGGCTTTGCGATCAGCCAGGGGGTCTTCAAATCGTCTTCTCAAAGAGGACATGAAACGGTTGAAGTTACTTGAGTTCTGGGGCATTGGAGTCATGCACGTTCACCACCCAATCTGCAGCCGGTCCATCCAGGGCAGATTGCACGATCCGGATGCGGGCTTTGTCGCTGGGAATGTCCTGCCCGTATTCCTCCCTGTAGCTGAGGACTTGGGTTAGGAAAAACCCCAAGCGTGTTGGCTCCCCTTTGAATTTCACCTCCAACGGTGGACGTCTTGGAATGGATCGGTGCCTCCGTTGTTGGTGGTAATGTCTTCCGTCCAGGTTGCCATCTG